ATATCATCCTCTCTTACTGAATATGGGCACTTTACTTCTATTATTGCTGGTGGGCAACACTTGCATACTAGCATTCCATCAGGTGAGGCGGCAATGAAGGGATAATCCCCTTTCACAACAAGTCCACAGGTTTTCAGTCCATTTATGCCATTCACATGCTTTGATGCAACATCAGACAGAAAACTCTTGATTGCATCCTTCTCGTGCTGAGTTCCCCATTTAATTTGAGGTAGATGTGATATGTCCTTGCTCTTGTTCAAACTTTTATGCACAAGAGGTGTATATTTGACATTCTTTTTCTTGCTTTTCATAATTGACTCCATTTTTGTATGATAATCATGAATGCTGGAAGCTGTCATCCTCCCTTCCCTTTGATTGTACCATGATGGGTTAGACGTCTGCCCCCTTGTCTCTATCTCAATACGTCGAACTTGCTCTTTGCTCATTTGACAATTCTCGATAAATGATGGTGCATTTTCCTCACAGGTTTTGTCATTGTTTGCTGCACTCATAAACAATGTAGCCCTCTCCCTTAAAGGCTGTGGGAGGCCATCATCTTTTGCATGCTCTATCGAGTTCAGGATACATGCTGATGGGTCAAATTCTTTTATTCCATTGAGTAATGCAGATACCCTCTCATTTGTTAAGACCCTATCACTGGGTTTTCTTGGATCATAGGCTTTCCTCAGTTCTTGAGCATTTGCAGGATCGCTGTTTGTGTCCTTTCTAGACTTCTTATGTTTAACAAATTGCAACTTTCTCAATTGACTTGGTTCCACTTCTTTCTTTGTCCCTCTATTCCAGCCCTGAGGGATGCTTGTGCTCGATGGAGAAACATACCCGTTCCTTAGAGCATAGTTCAGTTTATAAAGGAGTGCAATGACGTGATTGCATACCTCACCAGTTCCTATACATGTGCACCAAGAAGTAACGATTCTTGGTTTTTCTCTTGGCCCGTCCGTACAGATCCAGACTCTGTGAGRGTCGTCGTTTAACCTTTGGGAAGGGCTAACATTGGCTTTCAAAAACASAAAGTTTTCACAGCAGACATGATACACAGTATCTACAAAACCACTGAGCCAGTACGAGTAAGCTTTCTGGTCTTTATACTTGCCAATGTACTCCACATCAACAGCTTTTACTTTTAAAATATAGCTAAACAGTGCGCCATCGTCGATTCTGGCCATTCTTGAACGTTTTCCTTCCATCGCGAGTGTTCGATAGAATTGGGGTCAGTGTTTACATTATGCTTTTTGAGCCTCCGTTCGTATTCTTCTTTCACGAGTTTATAAATTTCTTCTTGGGAAAACTTCACAGGAGCTTTCAGTTCGTAAGCACCGAATGCTCTGGCGATAAGTTCTGCTTTTTCCCACTTTGTTTAAGTCCTCGAAGGGCCAAGAAGTCCTTTAGCGAATTCACTGTCCAGTTTACGAAGTCTTGATATTCGAGCGTTTCTTGTGCTTGTCTCGACATCAAGCTCCAGGAAAACGACGCTAAATTACGACAAATACTTTCTTAATCATATTTCAACAAACTCAGAAGGAGATAAACTTCATCAACAAGCGATAGTTTCGAAAGAAACCACTAAGTGTGAAGTTTAGATGTGACCGCCATTGCTTTGGCCGCGCGCTCGCCCCAGTCTCGTAGCACCCTATGGAAAATGGCGTCATTAACCTTGAAAGGGTCTATTGATTTCATCTATGTTTTAAGGGACATCCAAACAACGCACCCGCTTACGCAAAAGTGTGTCAAACCATAAAACCAAGCTAAAAAAACCTTGTGGAAAAATACAATAGTTTGGTCGATGAGAAGAGGATTGGAAGTCATCTAGCTTATGACGATGTTGAGAAGGGAAACTTTCTTTGGGACGAATTGTCGATCAGTGGTAATTCTTTTTATTTTCTGATGTACTCGAACTATTTTAACGTGTCTTTGGATAAAGAGAGAAAGTAAAAAATTAAGGCAAAAACATAAGCAATCGCACGACCCTGACGTGATTTGCAGCAGTATTTCCATACCGCCCGTTTTGTTGTGTAAACTATTTCTGTCGACGAGGTTAAGTTTCTCTATCTTTGGTAGAGAAATATAGTAGATAAGCAACTATGCAGTGTGTATTATTGTTTTGCGGCCGAGACACCATTGAGAGTTAAAGTGGACTCGTTTAGTGGACCTTCACGAACGCAACCAGCGATGTGAGGAAGAGTGCAGCTGCTACTGTTGGAGATGAAAAATTTCCTTTTCTTCTATGCGGACATTAAGATCCCAGAAATAATATCGGAATTGGCTCAATTACAAGGTACTTTGTCAAAGGGGATTTTGAGTTTAAAGGCGAGGACGGAAATATTTAATAATAGTTGTGCCACTTATATATTGTCTTACATTGGATGCAATGAGTTATTGTCAGCGAAATTGATATTTTTCTTGTAACGCTCGACAGCCGAACTAGAGGATAGCAAAGTCGATGTAGGTGCTCAAGGGAAAGAAGATGTACACAAGGTAAAGTTCTTTCATTCAGGGACGATAAATCAGAAACAAAGCTTAGGAACAAACCAGTATTCAGGAAGGAAAGAGTTAAGAATTATGTTAAAGTGTATGTGGGATGCTATTATTTTATGATAAAATTGATACAATTGTTTCTCAAACTCATTAATAATTCATAACTTCATAGTCCAATCGGATGTTTATTTTAGAGTCACGTGCATACCCTTGGATAACATGATCCAACATCGAATGCTAATTAGTTCCAAAACCGTGTGTTTAGATATCCAAATCCATGTGTTTGGATATCCAGACACATGGGTTTGGAACTMATTAACATAAATTGGCTAGGCTCTTAAAACTTCTCCGTTACTTTTAACCACTTATCTTTTTGTAATACACATTTATGACATATTGATCACTGGGTTTACTGGAGCATTGGATGATATGCGTTTCTCCCTCTTGTCGCCTGCTGACCGGCCGGGTACTGTTGATGTACTCGTGGGTATGGTCATGGTCAAACCCACATGCTGCGATCCGACATGTCCGAGAACGATTGACACTATCTTGCATACGTTTGTACTTGGTTTTTCGTAATGTCTACACATTTGCCATGACATGAAAATTTCCACTGCTCACTTCGTTTTGTATTGTAGATTGTGGCGTAGCTTTTGACAATAACTCAGCATCTTCTTCTCAAGTTGTTGGATCTCGAAAGCTACACGCGGAGGTTGCCTCCGCCATTTCAACTTATGAAATTGAACTGAATAAACAGAACTACTACAAATTTATTACAAATCTCTCTCCTTTGGGGTTTATTCTATTCTTTCATTCTATTCATACCCAAAATAGGACTGATGAATAAATCCAATTACGGTCTTTAAGGAATTTGCCAGCTGAAGTCATTCATTATCAATTTGTTTGAGAAATCAGATCAAAAACTCGTGCTTCGTGTTTCATCAGGGGAATCCAAACATCTCGAAACGCTAAAAGCACTTGGCCTTCGGCCGCGTGCTTTCATCTGTTTCTCGGTGTTTGGATCCCCTGATGAAACACTCGCACTCGTTTTTGATCTATTACTTCAGGAACCTATATGCACATATACTATTTCAAGGAGGAGTCTTCACGTTCTTTGTGGTCGGATATCATTGCTTAACAAAGGATTGTAGTGGAGTTCAGGGGAAAGAGTGTGCCGGTCTTGATACCGTATATACATGGGAACTACCAGTCTCGATAAGTCAGTCCACATTCCCTGAAGGTCGTAATGGTAGCAATGCTTGCAGTGTGATAGCGCTCGTGCTGGCGAACAAAGTGACGATGCTTAATGTACCGCCAAATAAATCGTCCTGTCTTTGCTCAGAGTGGACTGAAGTTGTATGTTCCTATATTGTTCTCTTGTCTCCGCTGCAGAAGCTGCAATGGTTGTTCCTGATAATGTGGATGTTGCAGAACCTCTTCCGATTCGTGTTGGTGATATATCAGTCCAGTGTACGCACATAGCACTTTATACGGTGCTGTTGACCGGTTCGTGAAATACCGTCGTGAATTGAAATCATGAGAACCTTAAAAAAGCGACAAGCGACACGATTCCCTAAAATAGTCAGGGAGCAAATGTCATAAATAAAAGTCCCGTGGGAAATCGATGATGAAAGCAAGCGAGTAGTTTGAATGTGTAAAGGGGATCTTTGGGAACATGACAAAACTTGTCGTCACCTTTGAAAACCGCACCGACGGGATTTAGGGGCATTTAAAGTATGCTATATCGAACGTCAGCATGGAAACGAGGCTACCCTTTTAAATTTACTTTATTATAGTTAGTTTTACATATTTTATTTCAAAAACTGGTCAGAATGTAATTCTAGATGTGTTCTTTGCTTTCATATACTTTAATCCACATATAGTTTGATCACGTGACTTGAAACACGAAAGCGAGGCTGAATATTGAAAATATTATTATTATTCCCAATTTCAATCTACTTCTTCCAAATCTTGCCAAAAAGTTTATCAATGTTTTCTTTTAACACATGAGGTA